TAGCTCGCCAGAGATATAACAGGCCAGAGATATAATATACCAGAGATATAACAGACCAGAAATTTAACATGCCAGAAATAAAACAAACCAGAGATATAACTGGCCAGAAAAATAACAGACCAGAGACATAATAGGCCAAAGATATAACAGACCAGAAATATAACAGACCAGAAATATAACAGACCAGAAATATATCAGGCCAGAAGTAAAACAGACCAGAGATATAACCGGCCAGAGATCAAACTGGCCAGAGATATAACAGGCCAGAGATATAATTGGCTAGATATATAACTGGCCAGAGATATAACTGGCCAGATATATAACAGGCCAAAGATATGGCAGGTTAGAAATATAATAGACCAGAGATATAACTGGCCAGAGATATAACAGGTTAAAGATATAACAGACCAGAGATGTAGCTGGGTAGAGATATAACAGACCAGAGATATAACAGATCAGAGATATAACAGACCAGTGATATAAAAGGTTAGAGATATAACAGACCAGAGATATAACAGACCAGATATATAACATGCATTAGAGATATAACAAACCAGAGATATACCAGACCAGAGATACAACAGACCGAGGATATAACAGACCAGAGATATAACAGGCCTGAGATATTACAGACTAGAGATATAATAAACCATAGATTTAACACACCAGAGATATAACAGATGGGAGATATAACAGGCAAGAGATATAACAGACCAGAAATATAGCATACCAGAGATATAACAGGCCAGAAATATAACAGACCAAAGACATAACAGCCAAAGTATAACAAACCAGAGATAAAACAGACCAGAAATATAAAAGACCAGATATATAACAGGCAGAAGTAAAACAGACCAGAGATATAACCGGCCAGAGATCTAACTGGCCAGAGATATAACAGGCCAGAGATATAATTGGCCAGAGATATAACTGGCCCGAGATATAACTGGCCAGAGATATAACAGGCCAAAGATATGGCATGTTAGAGATATAACAGACCAGAGATATAATAGGCAAGAAATATAACAGGCCAGAAATATAACAGACCAGAGATATAACAGGCCAGAAATATAACAGACCAGAGACATAACAGGCCAAAGATATAACAAACCAGAACAACAACAGACCAGAAATAAAACAGGGAGAAGTAAAACATACCAGAGATATAACCGGCCGTAGATCTAACTGGGTAGAGATATAACAGGCCACAGATATAACTGACCAGAGATATAACTGGCCCGAGATATAACTGGCCAGATAAAGAACAGGCCAGAGATATGGCATGTTAGAGATGTAACAGACCAAAGATATAACTGGCCAGAGTTTTAACGGTCCAGAGATATAACAGACCAGAGATATAACAGACCAGATATTCAGGCATAAGAGATATAACAGAACAGATATATAGCAGACCAGAGATATAACAGACGAGAGATATCACAGGCATAATAGTTATAGCAGACCAGAGATATAGCAGACGAGAGATATAACAGACCGGAGATATAACAGGGCAGAGATGTAACAGTCTAGATATATAACAGACCAGAGATATAGCTGGCCAGAGATATAACAGCCCAGAGATATAACAGGTTAAAGATATAACAGACCAAAGATATAACTGGCCAGATATAACTGTCCAGAGATATAACAGACCAGAGATATAACAGACCACATATTCAGGCATAAGAGATATAACAACCAGAGATATAACTGACCAGAGATATAACAAACCGGTGATATAACAGACCAGAGATATAGCTGACCAGAGATATAACAGACTAGAGATAAAACAGGTTAGAGATATAAGAGATCAGAGATATAACAGACCAGAGATATCACAGGCATAAGAGTTATAACAGACCAGAGATATAGCAGACCAGAGATATAACAGACCGGAGATTTAACAGACCAGAGATATAACAGGGCAGAGATATAACAGTCTAGATATATAACAGACCAGAGATATAACAGACCAATGATACAACAGACCAGAGATATAACAGGCCAGAGATGTAACAAGCCAGACATATAACATGCCATAGATATAACAGACTAGAGACATAACAGGTCAGAGATATAACAGACCAGAGATATAAGAGGCCAGGGATATTATAGACCAAAGATATAACAGACTAGAGATATAACAGGCCAGAAATATAACAGACCAGTGATATAACAGGTCAGAAATTTAACACATCAGAGATATAACAGGCCAGAGATATAACTGGCTAAAGATATAACTGGCCAGAGATATAACTGGTCAGAGATATAACAGACCAGAGATGTAATAGGTCAGAAATATAACTGACCAGAGATATAACAGGCCAGAGATATAACTTGCTAAAGATATAACAGGCTAGAGATATAACAGATTAGAGATATAGCAGGCCAGAAATATAACAGATCAGAGATATAACAGGCCAGAAATATAACAGAATAGAGATATAACAGGCCAGATATATATCAGACCAGAGATATAACTGGTCAGAAATATAACAGACCAGTGATATAACAGGCTAGAGATATAACTGGCAAAGATATAACAGGCCAGAGATATAAAAGACCAGAGATATAACAGGCCAGAAATATAAAAGACCTGAGATATAACAGGTAAGAAATATAACAGACCAAAGATATAACAGGCCAGAGATATAACAGGCCAGAGATATAACAGGTCAGAGACATAACAGGCCAGAGATATAACTGGCCAGAAATATAACTGGCCAGAGATATAAGACTCCAGAGATATATCAGGCCAGATATATAACAGACCAGAAATATAAGAGGCCAGAGATATAACAGGCCAGAAATATAACAGCCCAGAGATATAACAGGCCAGAGATATATCATACCAGAGATATAACTGGCCAGAAATATAACTGGCCAGAGATATAAGAGGCCAGATATATAACAGGCCAAAAATATAACAGTCCAGAGATATAACAGAACAGAGATATAACAGACCAGATATAAAAAAGACCAGAGATATAACTGGCTAGAGATATAAGAGACCAGAGATATAACTGGCCAGAGATATAACAGGTTAGAAATATAACAGACCAGAGGTATATGAGGCCAGAGATATAACTGGCCAGAGATATAACAGACCAGAGATATAACAGACCAGATATTCAGGCATAAGAGGTATAACAGAACAGAGATATAGCAGACCAGAGACATAACAAACCGGTGATATAACAGACCAGAGATATAACAGGCCAGAGATATAACAGACTAGAGATAAAACAGGTTAGAGATATAACAGACCAGAGATATAACAGACCATTGATAAAACAGACCAGAGATATAACAGGCCAGACATATAACATGCCATAGATATAACAGACTAGAGACATAACAGGTCAGAGATATAACAGACCAGAGATATAAGAGGCCAGGGATATTATAGACTAAAGATATAACAGACTAGAGATATAACAGGCCAGAAATATAACAGACCAGTGATATAACAGGTCAGAAATTTAACACATCAGAGATATAACAGGGCAGAGATATAACTGGCTAAAGATATAACTGGCCAGAGATATAACTGGCCAGAGATATAACAGACCAGAGATGTAATAGGTCAGAAATATAACTGACCAGAGATATAACAGGCCAGAGATATAACTTGCTAAAGATATAACAGGCCAGAGATATAACAGATCAGAGATATAGCAGGCCAGAAATATAACAGATCAGAGATATAACAGGCCAGAAATATAACAGAATAGAGATATAACAGGCCAGATATATATCAGACCAGAGATATAACTGGTCAGAAATATTACAGACCAGTGATATAACAGGCTAGAGATATAACTGGCAAAGATATAACAGGCCAGAGATATAAAAGACCAGAGATATAACAGGCCAGAAATATAAAAGACCTGAGATATAACAGGTAAGAAATATAACAGACCAAAGATATAACAGGCCAGAGATATAACAGGCCAGAGATATAACAGGTCAGAGACATAACAGGCCAGAGATATAACTGGCCAGAAATATAACTGGCCAGAGATATAAGACTCCAGAGATATATCAGGCCAGAAATATAACAGACCAGAGATATAAGAGGCCAGAGATATAACAGGCCAGAAATATAACAGCCCAGAGATATAACAGGCCAGAGATATATCAGGCCAGAGATATAACAGGCCAGAAATATAACTGGCCAGAGATATAAGAGGCCAGAGATATAACAGGCCAAAAATATAACAGACCAGAGATATAACAGAACAGAGATATAACAGACCAAATATAAAAAAGACCAGAGATATAACTGGCTAGAGATATAAGAGACCAGAGAAATAACTGGCCAGAGATATAACAGGTTAGAAATATAACAGACCAGAGGTATACCAGGCCAGAGATATAACTGGCCAGAGATATAACAGGCCAGAGATATAACTGGCTAGAGATATAACAAGCCAGAGATATAACTGGCCAGAGATATAGCAGGTTAGAAATATAAGAGATCAGAGATATAAACGACTAGAAATATAGGTCGAACAGGTTAGGTATTTAGAAGGTTAGTAACCTCTTAAGTACCAGGTTATGAGAGCAACAAGTTTTGGGTCCCCCGGTATGGTAGGAGAAATGCAATTCTCCTAAGATTTCAAAATGTCATGAAAACTGTTATTTAAAATGTCCTTTCCCAGCCTAACAGACTAAGCCAGAGAACCCAAAACAGAAAATGAAATTAACAGTAAGTTTCTTACGCGACCCGTTTTATTTTTCTATCACGGCAATTTTTAACCTTAGTGCTCATACGGGCGAAAAAAAAAAATTATTTGTAAAAGGACAGATTGACCATTAATCCAGTGATATATCAGCTCAGAGATATATCTGATCAGAGAAATATCAACAGAGATATAAAAGACAAGATATAATTCGACATATGAATAACGAATGTGTGAAATGGTGGAAGATACTTGAAAAGTATATGTTGGACATTCAGAGTGAATAAATATGTTTAAGTCACTCAGTTAAGTCAGTTAAGTCCCTGATACTGTCACCTCTATTGTGTCCTCAGCTGTCTCTCGTACTGTCACCTCTACTGTGTCCTCAGCTGACTTTCGTACTGTCACCTCTACTGTGTCCTCAGCTGACTCTCGTACTGTCACCTCTACTGTGTCCTCAGCTGACTCTCGTACTGTGTCCTCAGCTGACTTTCGTACTGTCACCTCTACTGTGTCCTCAGCTGACTTTCGTACTGTCACCTCTACTGTGTCCTCAGCTGTCACTCGTACTGTCACCTCTACTGTGTCCTCAGCCTCAGCTGTCTCTCGTACTGTCACCTCTACTGTGTCCTCAGCTGACTTTCGTACTGTCACCTCTACTGTGTCCTCAGCTGACTCTCGTACTGTCACCTCTACTGTGTCCTCAGCTGACTTTCGTACTGTCACCTCTACTGTGTCCTCAGCTGACTTTCGTACTGTCACCTCTACTGTGTCCTCAGCTGTCTCTCGTACTGTCACCTCTACTGTGTCCTCAGCTGACTTTCGTACTGTCACCTCTACTGTGTCCTCAGCTGACTCTCGTACTGTCACCTCTACTGTGTCCTCAGCTGACTTTCGTACTGTCACCTCTACTGTGTCCTCAGCTGTCACTCGTACTGTCACCTCTACTGTGTCCTCAGCCTCAGCTGTCTCTCGTACTGTCACCTCTACTGTGTCCTCAGCTGTCACTCGTACTGTCACCTCTACTGTGTCCTCAGCCTCAGCTGTCTCTCGTACTGTCACCTCTACTGTGTCCTCAGCTGTCACTCGTACTGTCACCTCTACTGTGTCCTCAGCTGTCACTCGTACTGTCACCTCTACTGTGTCCTCAGCTGTCACTCGTACTGTCACCTCTACTGTGTCCTCAGCTGTCACTCATACTGTCACCTCTACTGTGTCCTCACCTGTCACTCATACTGTCACCTTTACTGTGTCCTTAGCTGTCACTCATACTGTCACCTCTACTGTGTCCTCAGCTGTCACTCATACTGTCACCTCTACTGTGTCCTCAGCTGTCACTCATACTGTCATCAGTACAGTGCCATCCTCAGCTAAGTCACTCATCAGAACTGTAGTTACTCACACCATCAGTGATGGTGTGAATCAAGGGACCCAGAATGTGGAATGACCTTCCCAACCATGTTAAAGACTGTACCTCTCTCAACCAGTTTAAGATAAAAACGAAGCACTACCTAATAAATTCCCTGTAACCTACCTTACCCCTTTGTTGTCAACCCATGTATGTTTTTTTTTTCAAAACAACGCTGTTTGAATGTAATTTTCTGTAATAATTTGTAATTGTATTTGTGCTGCTTTTTCAACCATGTTCCCCCCTCTTTTACCTCTATTTTTATTTGTTCTCAACACATTTTATTCTTTTTACCCATTAGTTTTAAGCTTTAGTCATTAATGTTTTTCCTGCCCGAAACGCTTTGCGTAATAGTGGCTTTAGGCATTGTATGTACTAGCTCTATCTATTAACCCAACAAACTTTGTAAAATCTCTTTATGTATGTACCTTACCTAAATAAACATTTATTATTATTTATTATTATCTTGACCCTTAGGGTGTTGTCGAGGTGTGTTAGTGACCATCTTGACCCTTAGGGTGTTGTCGAGGTGTGTTAGTGACCATCTTGACCCTTAGGGTGTTGTCGAGGTGTGTTAATGACCATCTTGACCCTTAGGGTGTTGTCGAGGTGTGTTAGTGACCATCTTGACCCTTAGGGTGTTGTCGAGGTGTGTTAGTGACCATCTTGACCCTTAGGGTGTTGTCGAGGTGTGTTAGTGACCATCTTGACCCTTAGGGTGCTGTCGAGGTGTGTTAATGACCATCTTGACCCTTAGGGTGTTGTCGAGGTGTGTTAGTGACCATCTTGACCCTTAGGGTGCTGTCGAGGTGTGTTAATGACCATCTTGACCCTTAGGGTGTTGTCGAGGTGTGTTAATGACCATCTTGACCCTTAGGGTGTTGTCGAGGTGTGTTAGTGACCATCTTGACCCTTAGGGTGCTGTCGAGGTGTGTTAATGACCATCTTGACCCTTAGGGTGTTGTCGAGGTGTGTTAATGACCATCTTGACCCTTAGGGTGTTGTAGAGGTGTGTTAGTGACCATCTTGACCCTTAGGGTGTTGACGTGGTGTGTTAATGACCATCTTGACCCTTAGGGTGTTGACGTGGTGTGTTAATGACCATATTAACCTTCATGGCAGCTGGGTTATGTGGAAATAATTTTGTTCTTCTTGTTGTTGGAATTAGCGAAATAAAAGTCGGGAAGCGAAGGTTATTGGGCCACTACCTGTATAAAAAGTACATTTATATCTTTAATTTTCAGTCGAAATAATTATGAAGAAATGTTATCAGCCACAAACAGCGGCTGTAACTATATGTTATTACATTTGACACGAGACATTACGTCATCTTTAGAGATAATATGGAACGCTGGTGTGAACCATTACTCCATTGCTCACACAGGAAGATGATAGAGTTGCGGCGGGCAGCCAAGCCAACAGCCTGGGCTGAGAGAGCCAGGTTCGTGTGGCTGTGGGCGAGCGGCGTGCCCCTGCGGTCCATCGCCAGGGAGACAGGCGTCAGCGTCACCACCGTCTACAGGTGGGTCCATCGCTGGCAGACAGAAGGCAACGTCAACACCAGACGCCGCAGAATCACGGACTTTGCCAAAACTGCCTAGATATATACTCAACGATAGTATCTGACATAATGCATGGATCATCTAGAGGCTCTTCACTGGACAACTCACTCCTTCTACAATACTCTAAAATGAATCCCAGAAGGACTAGTCTCACGTCTAGAAGGAGTCCCAACGCCACTGTCATGACACTTTACACAGAGATGTGCATTATTGCAGTCCATCCTTCGTGGATTACCTGCTTCTCCTTACTGACATTCATATTTTTCATCTCCAATCGTGAACAAACTATTGAAGTTTTGCATTTAGAGTGACTAGTTATATCGAGACGTCGATCAGTTGTTCCAAACTGACGTGAGGCTATCGAGGATGATGAAGGAAGTATTACTGGTAGTGAACAAAACCCCATTCCATCACAACCCCCTGTCTCACTCAGTTTTCCTACAGTGCAGGCTTAGAAAGGAAAGCCGAAAGCGCTCTAGTCGTTATCTATTAATTTTTCACTGTGGACACATTCTCCTTACAATAGATCAGTGTTGTTGTTCATTGTTGCATATACATAATATATAAATACATATATATTATTCATATATATATCCAACCATCACCTTCTGAATCCCACAAGCAATCCAGCTGGGATGGCCCCATTGTAGACCAAGCAGCTGCAACATGCCAAGAAGCTGCAACAACACCACATGACACTGCCCGACTTAGAGCTGTAGCGGCTCCCAAAGCAGGTGACTTCCTTTTAGCAACCCCAATGTCAGCAACCAGCACACGTCTCACACCGCAGGCCCTCTGAATTTCTTTGGCTCTCTGCCTTGCTGTTCCAATCCACACTGAATATAGGTGTACTTGTGGCGAGGCAGTAACCGACAGGTACGGCCAGCATGGCCTGCTCTGCCAAAGCACAGGAGGATGGAATGCAAGACACGATGAGGTCAATGACATTATTAAAAGAACCCTTACCACAGCCGATTGTCCAGCAGAGAGAGAGACCCTCGTTATCTAATGCCCCACAACTCTGGTCAGACGGGATTACAGCGAGCTCATGGAAGAATGGTAGGAAGTTGGTGTGGGACAGCACGTGCATTTCAACTTTAGCCAACACCTTTATTAACTTCAGTATTGCATACCCAGGCGGTGCTGCCACTCTCAGGGGAAGCAGCCAAGTCTCGTAAATACAGAGATCTTGATCACCACTACAATTTTGTCCCAATTACCTGAGACACATGGTGCCTGGGGTAAAAGTGCTGCTAGTTTCTCTAAAGAGTTGGATTCTAAGCTAATTGAAACAAAACGGGACCCTAGAGCCGCCAGTTTCCTCTTTCAGAGCCTTAGTGTGGCGATTCAGAGAGGAAATGCTCTCTGCGTCCATGGTTCCTGCCTGCCTTCTGAGGAGCTGGAAGAACTCGACAACCTGTGACAACTAGCCTTGTAACTTGCTTGTAACCAATGTTGTAACCATTTTTGTATAATAAAGTTTTGATAGAAGGATAATATAGATTTCGGATTCTCTTTCTAACATTTGTATATTGTTTATGACAAGGAAAATATTACAATTTGAAAAAGGGAAATAGACATTTTGTACCTGCTGCGTTTCTTCTTAACTATTCAGACTTTAAACTGCTTTGTCGAATCAGGCCTTAAAATTGTGGATTGAGGTGGATACTACAACTTCTTTTAGAACATTATTCCAATTGCAAATTGCTTGTACAGGATATATGTGCTTCCTTACGTCCCTTCGGCTCATTTCAATTTCTAATTTCCATGTATGTTCTCTTGTCCTGCATTCTCTCAAAATCTGAAGATGCTATCCCTGTCCACCTTATATATTCCCCCTGAGTATCTTGTATGTTGCGATCATTATACCCTCTTTTCCTTCTGTCCTCTAAGGTTGTGAGATTTAATACCAATAACCTATCTTCTTAGCTTAACTATCTTAGCTCTGGCCCTAATCGTGTTGCAAACCTTGTACTTTTTCAATTATGGCTTTATGCTTCACAAAGTGCGGATTCCATGCCGGCAATAAGTATTCAAGCAATGTCTAGTAAATGTTGTGTAGATCCTTTTGATAAGAGTCCTGATACAGGTTTCTAAATGATGTTCTTATATTTCCCAGCGTCACATACACTGCTGATGTTAACCTGTTAAACTCACGCCGCTGGTGTCAGTGACGGAATTATATCCACTCCCAGAACTTTCACTCTTTTTTATTTTTGTAGCTGCTTTCCGTGTATGGTGTAGAAGGCTTCTGGAGATCCCTTCTACTCTGCCTCCCAGACCCCCGGGTTTGCTCATGCTCTCCCCAAAACTCTGGGACACTTCACAAAATAATATATTTAAATTTGGGACATTTAAATCCTACTGAATGGTAGATCAGTGACAAGCTTAGAAAGTTTCCATGCATGTTCACATAGGAGGGGGGATATTCGTTTGCCTTGTTCGGGTTGAATGTAGACACAGTAGTCGCTTCTGTATATTTATTGAGTGAGGCAAACAGGTGTATAACTGGCCAGCCGAGATCCACCTACTCTGGGTCTGTCGAGAGAACTGAGCTGCTGGGAGGATGGCTGGTGACTGTCTGTCTGGCATGACATCAGAGGCCTACTTGCCTGTGATTGGTTATGTTCCAACTGACATAGAATTTGAGTATAACACCGCTCGGACACGCTACCAAGTCGACGTCCCTTGTCGACAAGGTCTGGCTAGCTATATAGTTACAATGATACTGAAAGGACCTCGGTGGCATTCAATAATGACTTACATAATAAAACATTGAAAGAAGATCAGGTGTGCGTAATACTAACAACTCGGCATATGCACCAAAAAAAAAAAATCATCATAATAGGTGAAAATCATGGTAACAATGCTTTGATTAAACCAGAGTATTAAGAACATGTGTATGTCTACTGATCAGATATGAACAATACAACTCAAGGTATTGCTTAAACAAAATTATTAACATGTGGCAATGTCATGTGCTTGAAAACCATACAAAATTAAACAATTATTGCATTAATGGCACAAAGTTCTGACCTAACAACCACAAATGAATTTTAAGATTAGATAATGATTTTTTTTTCTCTGAAATATACAATATATTTACAAGACCAATGTACAATATATTTAATGTTCAATATATTTACAAGCTATATACAAGACCTGGATCAAGAAGACTAACATCTGCGTGATAGCAGTCAGGATTCACTGGCCACAATGTGGTTGCTAGAACATTAATAACTCTTATGACAAGCACTGTAAAAATACAAATGGTAGTAGACTTAACAATCGCATCTAATTTATAACAAAATAAAGTTGAGAAAAACTATTCATTATATATAATGGTAATAATAAGACACATGTGGTAGAAATACTGCAAATGATTTTTTTTTTCAAAACAAACAGAATAACTGGAGTGCACTCAATTATAAATTCTGCGGATATCTACACCTAGCTCATCCAGAGCACTATACAACTCTGGCTCTGACTGAAGGTCCGGAACAGATGAAACTTCATGTGACAAACTATCATCTTGAGAGATGTCCTCGTTAACATCTAGCCAATGGACATGTGGTGAGTGCATGGTTGAAACAAGAGGTCTAGATCTAAGATTATATGTGCTAGTATGGGGTTGCTGAACATCAAGTGGTCTGTCAACCACAGAAGGTGGTGTCCCAATAGGAGTATCTGTCTGGGTAAGTTCATTGTCATCTTCCTCATCAGTCTCGCCAACAGTCATTTTAGCTAACTTCATGTGGTCTAAATGTTCATTTATATACTCTCCTGTTACTAAGTTCTTAAGTCTGTACTTGTTACCTTTGATAAGCTCGGTTACCTTATATGGACCAAAAATTTTTTTAGTTAACTTGTACATAGGACCAGACCTGTGTTGGTTAAGTATCATTACTACAGATCCAATAGTTATTTTACTGGGTTTAGCTCGTGCATTCCTTGCTAGAGTGAACTCGGCTGTAGCTTTGGACAGTTGTTCTTGTATTTTCTTGAATACTAATTGCATCTGTCTACAATTCACTTGAACAAAATCATCTACGTTATATAAGGGAGTAGAAGGTACGTTATCAATTCATTAGGGAGGATCTTATCTGTACCATAAAGAATAGCGTGAGGTGTGTCACCTGTAGAAACATTAATTGAAGAATTTATAGCACACTGAATTAAGGGT